AGAAAAAAGATGGCGCCACTGGGTGCCATGTACCTGCTCCCTGGTGGGGACCTCAGGGAGCAGGGGGCTCACACCGGCGAGCATGAGGGTGATGATGGGGGCCTAGGAGATGGAGGAGGAACAGACAGGGCAGAAAGAAGGGTCCCCACAAAACAGCAGCAGCAGCCCCCTGCATGCCTCTCCCCCACGCCACCCCGCTGAGCCCCAGGAACCATGAGAACTTTCCTAACCACGTGGGTCTCCCTGCTCCACCCTGCATCAGCCACCCCGGAAGGACCCCACACGGTGGCTGGCAGAGAAGGAAGAAGACAAGGTGGGGCAGCGGTGAGGGTGAGCAGAGCCCGGGCGGCTCACCCCAGAGTGCTCCCACTCCGGCTCAGGGACCCGGGAGAACAGCCAAGGGTGGGGGTGGGGGCCGGGAAGGGGGCGTGGCCACCGGCAAACCTCCCCTGAGAAGAATGAAGAGAGGAGAAACATCTGCTCAAGGAGGAGGCTACAAGACAGCCCGGGGCTCCTGCTGGCCCTGGGGCCAGTGATGCTGCCGCCACTATTTACTCAAAGGAGACTGCCTGCTTTTGTGGGGGGGGGCTCCCCATCCTGGCCCCCGATCCCTGCTGGAGGGAGGTCCCGGGGCACCGCCCAGGACTCCCTCCTGCTAGACCAGGACCCCCGCCAGGCAGAGTCTGGCAGAGTCTGCGGAGTGCGGGGAGGAGCTGCTTTGCCAATGTCTCCACCCGAGGCTGTGCCTCACCACATACCAAACCCGGGAGTGCTTCCCAGGCAGCCTCGCCCGGGTCCCTGGGGACTCCAGGGAGCGGCAGGAAGGGAGCAGACAGTTGCAGCCCACACACACAAAACACCGACACACACAACCCAACCAGGGAAATGCAGGCAGGAGAGGCAGACCCTCCCACGGTCCGTCTGGCCCCCTGGCCTGGGTGGAGAGCGCCTGAGCCAGCCTCCTCCCGGGGCCCCAGGCAGAAACCTCGGTTGCACGCTGACATCATTCACCCTCACCGGGCACAGCTCAAGGCTGCTGTCCGGGACACACAACAGCCACGTTTCCCCAGCCTCGGTGCCCCGCAGTGTCGTCAGTTCCCCAAGACTAGAAAGGGCCTGTGTGCCTAGATCAGCATCAGGGAGGACAGGGGCCACAGAGGCGGTGGCCCCCCTCCCCGGACTCCCCCGCGGCCCAGGGCACAAGGACGGAGGGACAGGGGTCTGACCTGCAGCCAGCAATCTCCACTGTGTAGCGGAGCGGTCATGGAGGCTGTCCCTGTGCCCGGCCTGCCTCCTCCGTGGGAAAGAAGGGCCAGGGGCTGTGGGAAGCACTCCTGTCCATCTCCCTTGAGCATGGTTTGGGGGAAGAGGGGGGGTCTTGGGATGGGTGAAGGGGACCCCTAGGGTTCCCTGGGGAGGTTGGGGTGTCGTGGTGTTCTGTATTGTAAAACGTACTTTAAACCACTTTCCTGCCCACAAGTGGAGGCAAATGACATCCAACATAACACCTCGGCTTGCTGGAGACAGCGTCTCCCCTGCAGGGCTGGGGCGAGACCAGCCAGCCCATGGGCAAGCATCCCAGGGTCTCGGCGGGGTTGGGGGGATGGGGAGCGGGGCTCCGGCATGAGGGCCGCGACACCGCACCTCACCGTGGCTTTCACAGGGCTGTCTCTGCTGACCGGCTCCCTGGAGCCTCAGCGCCCCCAAGAATGCCTGCCCCACACTTCCCCTCTCCAGCACAATGGGCATGCCCCGCTCCACCCCCACCACCCCCAAGAAACAGAGGCCTAGCCAACAGCTTCCTTCCCATGTCCTTGCAGTCTGAGTGGCTTCCAGTCTGGTGCCATCCTAGCAAAGGCCACCAGGAGAGACGTGTGTGTGTGTGTGTGTGCTCCCACGTGTGCAGGTCACACACACCTGTGCAGGTCTTCCCGGCTGCAGCATGCATGCCCGGGAGTGGGAACCACACGTACAAGAGCAAACGCGTCTGAAACGACGCTGAGGACACGGTGGTGGGGACCATGTGCTTCCCCGCCGAGAGTTTGCCACCCTGGGTTGAGTTGAGATTTTGGACTTCTGCCCATCAGGGAAGTAGGAAATGGTGTCTCTCAGCCTCCTCCACCCCTCCCCCCAGCCCCAGACGAAACATGAAACTTCTCTTGGCCTCAGTTTCCACACCTGTAAAATGGGCAGATGCGTCACAACTCGCCAGAGGACTCTTAACAGAACAGAATGCCAGAACACCTGTTAAGTGCCTGGCCCAGCGTCTGGGGCCCAAAAGCACGCCATTCAGGGCTATGGTGCAGCAGGTAAAGCTGCTGCCTATGGTGCCGGCATCCCATATGGGCACTGGTTCAAGTCCTGGCTGCCCCACTTCCGATCCAGCTCCCTGCTATGGCCTGGGAAAGCAGCAGAAGATGGCCCAAGTGTTTGGGCTCCTGCACCCATGTGGGAGACCGGGAAGAAGCTCCTGGCTCCTGGCTTCAGACTGGCGCAGCTCTGGCCATTGCAGCCATCTGGAGAATGAACCAGCAGGTGGAAGACCTCTCTCTCTCTCTCTGTGCCACAGTCCCCTCACACAGCCTAGACCATGACAGGGGCCACAACCTGTTTCCCCCCAAGCCTTCTCCCAGCAACCACACAGGCGGCTTTGCTCTTCTGGGTTCAGCTGCGTCTCTGGGCACACCCACAGGGAGACTGTTCTTGGCCTGGCCCCAATCCAAGGGCGCAGCTCTGGGAGCCACACACAGAACTCCCCACGGAGTGGATGCAGCCTGGACCCTGAACAGAGGGACATCTGTGGCTTCCCGTGAGGCCCCCTCCACCATGGGCAGGAAGGCCCCGCCCCAGCCACTTCCCAGGGTGCCTCTTCCTTTCCCTCCATTTAGCTGGTACCGGGGCATTTTAAATTCCACATGAGAGGCTTTGTGGAAATTCAACTGCAGATGATCACAGGAAGAATGCCATGGGAGGGGAGGACCACTGAGGGAGGTGGCCCAGGGCTGAGCAGTTCTCACCAGGGTCAGACAGGCAGGCAGAGGGACGGGCAGTGACACCAGGCAGGGTGGCTCCTGTCGGCTGTCCATCAGGCCCCTGGAACCAGACCTCGGCCCTGGGGATGCAGGGCCAGGCCACGGAGGTTGAGCTCCATGGGCTGGTCCCTTTCTAGGCGTCTCCCTTTTGATCTGTTAGTCGATCAACTTCCCCCAAGAGGATACAAGTCTGGCTGGGAGAACTTTCAAACTGCAGTTAGAACTTCAGGGAGGTCCCTTAAGCACCCCCTACAGGGGCCTCTCTCCAGGACCCCCCCCCCTAGAACACAGATATGGAAAGTGCCTGTCCCCGCAGCCCCCAGCCCCACATACACCGCCCCAAGCTGCTGCCCAGCCCCCTGCAGACTGCTCAGACCGCCCGACTGTCAGTACATTTAGAAACTCCTCCCTTCCTCCCTCCTTGTCTTCCTGGTGTCCCCTGGTGCAGCGCCTGGCTTTGAGTCTCAGCTCCGCTTCCAATTCTAGCTGCCTGCTGATGCATACCCTGGGAGGCGGCACGTGATGGGCCAAGCACTTGGGTCCCTGGCACCCAGGATGGAGCTCCTGGCTGCTGGCTTCAGCCTGGCTCAGTCCGACCAGTTGTAGCGAACCAGCGGACGGAAGCTCGCTCACTCACTCTCTTGCTCTTTCTTTCAAAGAAATATTTTTAAAAATGTTTTAATAAATGATCCTGAGGCCAGTGTCACATGTGGCATAGCAGGTAAAGCCGCTGCCTGCAGTGCCGGCATCCTACATGGGCGCGAGTTCGAGCCCCAGCTGCTCCACTTCCGATCCAGCTCTCTGCTATGGTCTGGGAGAGCAGTGGAAGATGGCCAAGTCCTTGGGCCCCTGCACCCGCGTAGGACACCCGGAAGAAGCTCCTGGCTCCTGGCTGTGGATTAGCGCAGCTCAGGCCGTTGCAGCCACCTGGGGAGTGAAACAACGGATGGAAGACCTCCCTTGCTCTGTCTCTTCCTCTTGCTAACTCTGCCTTTCAAATAAATAAATCTTAAAAAAAAAAAAAAAAAAAAGATCCTGTTGATTTGACTAAAAACCTTTCTATACTACATCTTCAACTGGACAATCAGTACAGAAAATAAAAAGTGTTGTGAAACAGTGAGGCTGCGTTATAAAAATCGATTCAGCAGCTGTGCAGGCTGGAGCCGGATTTCATTGGGCTTCTCTGTTCTCTCCCCTTTGCCTCTGACCTCTGACCTGGGCCCCCGCGGATGCCCCGGGCTCTAGGCGGTGGGTGGTTGGAAGGAGCCGGCTTTGATGGAGCTGGGTGTGCCTGCCCGGCGCCCGCCATCTTTCCACCTGAGCCTCCACCTGCGCGTGAGTCCGTTTGGAGAGGCAGCTGTTGCCCCCTAAATGCCTGGTATTTCTAACAAGCTCCCGATGCCCCTGCGGCTGCCTCTTCCCAGTCACACACGTGGACAAGCCGGCCACGCAGGCTGCTGCTACCAGGAGCCACTCTCAGCAAATAAAACGCACCTGCTCCCCACTTCGCCCTCCCTCCCCAGGCTCCTGTTAAGGCTTCCGGGCTCAGCCCTGGGTCGATTTTCCTTGGTTTCTTTACCCAGACAGCCGGCCGGCCCAGCGCACAGCAAGCCCCCGCCCTCCCCCCGCAGCGCGTTCCCCACACCGCGGGGTGGTGGGGGGAGGTCTTGGGCTGGACCATCACGTTGGCTGTAAGTGGGGGCGGGGTAAACCAGCACATGCAGGTTACCTGGAGGGGCAGGATGGAGAAATCAGGTGCTGGGAGCTTTGATTATCAGATGAGTGAGACACTCAACACAGCCTCTCAAACAGCTGTCCGAGCGCGTCCACCGTCCACAGGGGGCGCAGCCCAGCCTCAAGCCCCACCCCCACCCTGCCCTGGGGGTGCTCCGTCTACACACCCTCCTGCAGATCTTGCCAGGCGTGGGAGAGCTGGTGGTCCCAGAACAAAGCGGGGGGCTGCCAAACTTGCTTTCCAGGACATTTATTGGAGCCTTTTGCTTAATTAAGCATGAATGCGGACCAGGGGCCCCAGCCCCAGCCCCGGCCGGGCTGACAGCAGCCAGGCGCACAGAGGGAGGGGTGGGGCCGGGAGCCGTCTGTTCCCATTGTAGACAACGTTATTAAAAAAAATAAACTTTACAATAATACATTTTCGCTCATCTGGGGGGGGGGAGGAGTGGAAGGGCTATTATTTCGATAGTTCCATTTCTTAAAAAAAGGAAAGAACGGGGAACCACAGGACACACAGATGTGATGTGCATATACACACGTTTGGAAAGACCGTATGTACAGCTGACTTAGGTCTCAGAGATGGAGGGGGGCACGGGCACGAGAGGGGCGTGCAGACAACAGCCCGAGAGACGCACGCCCACCCGCCGGTTCCTGCTGCCCCTCTCCACTGAGGGATATGCCCCCCCACCCGGCGCCAACAAAGCCTCGTTTCTCTCTGACCCTGAAACTCTTTGCCACCAAGGAGGCAGAAGCGCCCCACCTCCACCCTGGAGCGGGTGCCCCAGGCGGGCTGCGCTGGGCTGGGCTCTCCGCCATCCGTGCCTCCCTGGGAGCTCAGGGTACATCACCCCTTCTGCAGGGGTACTCCCCATGCCAGACACCGACCCACCGGCCCGCTGAGGGCACAGAAGCAGTCAATACTCCCGCAGCTAAGAGCAGGGGCAGACGGCGCCCACAGGTTCCCGGTGCCCGCTGCCCCCGCCAGCCCCCGGCAGGTGTCCAGCAGGGGCTGCCCTGCCTCAGCCTGCAGCAGGCACAGTCACACGCCCCCTTGGCAGCAGGGTCTTGGTCTCTTGCTTCAAAAGGGTCCAAAGAAGAAAACTCCAGCTGAGGATGGAGGCTGCCCACCTGCTTGTCTGTCTGGCTTAGAAAAACGTCTCCAGAGAAGAAACCTGGGAGGAGACAGGCTCAGAGACAAGGTGGGAGAAGACTCGCTTTTGTCTTGATTTGTTTTTTTGCAAGGTGTGTGTGGTTGTCTCGTGTGTGTCTGTGTGTGTCTGCTGTGTCAGGCGGGAGTCCTTGGCGGTGGCGCTTCCAGGAGCCTTGCGAACACAGTTCCCCGGGGTGGGGGGCCTACAAGGCCCAGGTGAGCAGGAGGAGGGGGAGCGCCGTCAAGGCAGCCGCTGGCCTGGCTCGGCGGGGGCCTGAGTTGGGTTTGGTCACCTTGTTGCTTCCTGGGATGATGTCTGTCGTCAGCTGGGTCCGCGGCACGAGGGAGCCAGCGACACGGAGAGTGAAGAGGGGATTAAGAAAGAAAGA